AGAGAGACAGAGAGATAGGGAGAGGGCGCGCGAGAGAGAGACAGAGATAGGGAGAGGGCACGCGAGAGAGAGAGAGAGAGAGACAGCCTCCACTGTGTGGGGAGGGAGTTACTCACCTTCCCTCCTTCTTGATATGACACACATAGTGACCACACATTGTGGAGGTTCCCATGTGGCTGATGAATGCAAAGAGCTGGTATCCTGTAAGGGGGGGTGGGGGAAGAGTGTGGGTGGAATAAGAAAACAGAGGGTGAGTGGGGGCGGGTGGCTGGAGGTCGGAGTGTCATGGGAACCCCAACCTGCTGAGGCTCGCGAGGACAATGACACCCTCCCATAAAGCCCTGGGCAGTTTGTATCCTGGACACTGATGTGCCTCGGGTGTAGCTCAATGAGGACACTCTGTCGCAGCCTTCAATACCAATTAAGAACCTATGGCCCAATACAGAGGCACTGAGTCGTGGGGTAAATACCCCATTTGGAGGCAACATCATACGAGGCTGGGGGAGAGAGACAGAGAGAGAAGGGGACATCATCCTGGAATCCTGTTCTCCTTTACCAGCGCCCGAACCCCAATCCCTCCCCCTAACCCCGGGGGGGAAAAACGGGGATCAGGAGGGGGCTCGCAGTCTGTTTCACCGCCCCCCACCCCATCCTTCCCTAACCCCGGGGGGGAAATGGGGATCAGGAGGGGGCTCGCAGTCTGTTTCACCGCACCCCCCACCCCCATCCCTCCCTGACCCAGAGGGAGGGGGACGAGGACCGGGAATGGGATCCCGATCTGTTTCACCCCCGCCCCCCCCGCTCTGTGACCCGGGGAGTGAGGTGTGGGTGGTGGTGGTGGGGGTGGGGGTGGGGGCGGGCAGCGGTGTGTGTGTGTGTGATGTGGAGAACATTACAGTACTCACGGCCATGTCCGTCCCTGACCTTCGGCCCCGGTGGCACGGACTCAGAGAGGGATTCTGGTGCGGAGCGAGCCTCGGACACATCCATGTCCACCTCAGTATCGAGATCATCGATCCGACTGAAGATCCAGTCGACAGCTCGCTCCAGGCTGTTGTTCTGCAGGCGGAGAGGGGAGTGAGAGATTGA